GGCATAATTTTGAGACCTTTCAGGCCCAACGGGAAGTCAGCTTTTAAACGGACTTATTTTCGGCCTCCTGAAAACACATCAAACCGGTATAAAAATGATTGCCTAAGAAGTGTTCACTCTTGTCCTATAGATTTCCGATGACCTTAAATATTCAGGCATAGGTTATGGAAACTACAAGCAAGAATATGTTTTCCTGTACTCAACTGATGGCAAATCACGTCTTCTTCCAACTTAATCCTCAACGAAAGGGCATTTTATGGATTAAAAATGGCCGTGATTCTTGAATAATTTTGAGCTCGATGCGCCGTTAAAGTTGCATCTAGTGTTTTCTCTGGAAGGAATATAATACATTTATGTTTATCATTAAGAAGATGGCATACACTATTCTTACAATTTTGCAATGGATATGGATCATACCGCATACTCTACAAGGGGCATAAGTAAGTGAACAGCTACGATTCCATTTTAATTGACATTGTAAAGTCCTAAAATCTTTCACAAGTATTCAGTTTTTTAAAACCAAAAGGTGGCATTTTTCGAGTGAAGAACGTTGATGAGGACGCGATTTACTATCAGATTAGTAGAAGAAGGAATAGATTAGCTGTTGGTTTTCACAACATATACCTGAATTTGTGAAGTCATGAAAATATCCAGAAAAATGCATCCTCCTTAATTAATATTTTTTTCTGGAGTAATGCATTTAAGAGAGTTTGCTTAAAAGCCAGCATCCTGGCGTATTTGAAATGTCTGGAGATTATGCTCCTGGGATTATAACTGATATAATTTCACTTAAAGCACATTTTAAATTTTGTCCGCATTGCAAATCGGTATAAATACTCCCGACCATATTTATATAAGCGTTTTGTTCAACGAGGTGTAACCTTGTTGTTATCGCTGACGCCTAAAAAAGTGAATAATTATTTTACCGAAAGATGGAATAAATGACTAGTAGCGGCGGCTGAATAAAATTTGATTTTGACACGCTTTTGGGGAGTGAGTAGGATTCCTCAGGTTAGGCTTTATATGATTACTCACTGACTCTCTTGCACAGGACCAACTTCAAGACTTAAAACCTGACTGATAATTTGGTTGATGGGTTTTTACGGATCAGCTGTGATTAGAAGAGCTACAAAGGGCACTCAGCTGCCCCTTAACAGTCTCAGTCAGAGTTAGTAAGTAGATATGGTCGTTGAACAGAATGTTTAATACGGAGTGTTCAATGTTATGCTACAAAACATGCGCGGAATACGGTGAAATAACAGCGGAACAGGTTTAGCGCGTCAAGAAAACAGTCAATGCGAAAATTAATTTTAATTGCAATATAAGGCCTACTGTTCATTGCGAGTAGAATGTTATACAAAAATTAATTTTACAGAAGGCAACAACCAAGCGGCTGTTTGCGACATATTTTAATAAAAGCGACCCAAACAACGTTTGGATCAATGGTAAGAGCTAGAAAGAAAAAATGGCAACAAAGATGCCTATACATTCACCTGGTATTTTACCGACAATACAGACCATATCGCGAAGATTTAGGCCTATTTGGGCCTCATCAGGCGATAGTAGGTCAACTCCAGTGTAGCAGCGGAAATTGCCGCCACGCTCGAGTTTCAAACTCACGTCTCTCCGACCAGAGGCAAACGCTCTGACCCTTGAGCCACATGTGCGCTCCGTGTTGTCGGTTTTTGATCGACTATAGATGTTATTAGGTAATTCTACTCCGATCTGTTTCAGGATGTACCCACCCTGCATCATTGTATGATATCGAGCTAATTGGTAAAATATCATTGTTACTAATAGTTAGTGAGTAACATATACAATTGGGGTTCCAATTAGCTCGCTATCATACAATGATGAAGGGTGGGTACATCCTGAAACAGATCGGAGTGGAATTACCTAATAATATATATTCACCTTTTCAACTTTGATTTTTCTTGATTCGAAAGAAGAGTGCCACCCAGTAATCGAAAGTATGCCGAAGATCCCTGGTGTGCAGGCGAACAGAAATTAGCAGATAAACTCCTTAATAGATACCTGTAAAGCACAAGAGACCTTAGGAAAGCTTAAAAACTAACAACGTGAAATTAGTGATGCAAATTTCAGAAGAAAATCACTTTAAAGTTTTATGTACATTTCCCAACCCATTGTGGCTGTAATCTTGAGCAAACTCTGATCGCAATGGGAATTAAAGCGTTGAGAGAGAGCACAAACCGGCCAGATAGCACAAAAGAAGCTAAAAAATTAAATTAATGCACGCAAAACTCCTGAATAGTCCTGGAAAGATGCACGGTAGATCCCATATCTCCCGAAAGGTAAACCGAAATTATGAAATATCCTTTGATTGCGAAAAGGTTTCTAAAATATAGTTATAATAATGGTAATTCTGCAGCATAATCTCGTAATATTTAAGACACGTTGGGATGTTGGCTGCATAAGTATATTCTGTAAAAAGTGGCCACTTTAGTTGCATACTTAGTTCGAATTTTTTCTGAAAGCCCTTATAAATTCTAATGGACTTTACATAGATCAATCAAGAAAAATCCTTTATTTTACTCAGTTTGCAGAAATTTATGCCTTATTTTAATTTGAAAATTGAAAAAGGGGTGTCCTTTGATTAACCTACTTTCTTAATATTCAAAAATTATGAACCTTACCGACCATTACACTTCTATTCAAGTTTTCCGAACTACGTCCTTTGTACACTGTCTAAGAAAAATGATTATTTTTTCTGTACTCAGAGGAAGGGGTCGCAAAGTTCGCATATATCATTTAGGTGCATGTGAATCAAGTTGTACACTTTATTGGCAACGTTATAAAATTTACTGATGAATGAATAAAAAGTTCGCGTTCTAAAATATCTCAAAATTGTAAACATTATAAAACCACATGCACCATTTCGTCAAGCATAACATGTGAAGAAGGCGTAATTTTCTATTAAATAAGCACAAAATAGGAGATTTTTGTGCATGTTTTCTATAGAATACATTTATAAGGGTACCAAAAATCACTGAGAAAAAACATACTACTTAAGGAGCGATTTTTACAGAATCTACAGAATCAAGAAAGAAGCTTGTCAAAATCTGAAGTCCTAACGGGACTGAATTATCCCGTGGTTATGCGGCACTATTAGCAATTTTATAACTCTTATTATGAAATCTCTTCAAACTGAAGGTACTGTTCACTATTTCGGCTGATATTTTCAAAACTGCGGGTCCGAGTGAACTGCCATTCAAACCTGAGTTCCTTTGACTTGAACCGTGTCCAAAGGCGCATATGTGGACCAGCAAGTCCGGTTGTATTAACCAATGAACGCCCTCCTTTAGATATATAGAGCAGCCAAATGTTTGAAGCCTGTGTCTGCTTCGCTATCATCTTCAGACGACCTTATGTCTTTCAGCATTTCTAAATGCAGCAGCCTCAGGTCTACCAAGCCGCACCGCAGACTGTCTACTTTGCTGGTAACAGCACCCACCCCAACGCAGGAACCACCTCCAGCGCCCAAATCATGATCGGAGCTGGAGCGCCTAAACCAGCTGGCACACCACAAGTCGCCAGCAGTCAGGTCTTCTATGTAGGCTCGCAGCCGGCGACCGCTGGCCA